GATTTTGAGATAAGGTGTGAGCTCGTGGGAAGTAATCTTTGTTGGCAGTGTAATTTCTGCTACAGCCAGCAAACGTATGCCAAGATAAATCCCCATATGACAGATCCACAGTCTATTGACAGTTAAGTGGGGTCCTTCTGTATAACGTTGCCGTTCATTTTTCGACCCGAAATTTCATTTCTCCGGGTTGTACGTAATTAAAAATCAATTCAAATAAAAATTTTGCACATCCTGCAAATGCTTTGTTGGAGGGACAAAATGATATATAACACGAATGCATCAAACAAACTTTAACTCGATAAAATTTTTAGATAGTTGGAAAGCGCACAAACTTATGGAACAACGTAGTACACGAGTCTGTTCAAATTTGCAATTTTCACCTGAGATCACCGAATGAGCCTGCAATACCTTCTTCGGGAGAGAATAACCGCTTAATATTTTTACTTGACACGCGTAGCAATATGATTTACCGATCACTTCGTCACATCACCAGTCGAGGTACAATTGCAGTGGGGTCGATGTTCTTCATATAAGCTTAAAATGCAGACAAAACCCAACAATTGTTTTCTGGAGGGGGGTTGATTTCGTCATCGGGTAATAAGTTCGTGTAAAATTCTAAAAATTAATTGAGAGCTGTAGCTATACCGGAAACCAGTAGGAACATATCGCGGACTAATCGATGCACCAAACACTTCGAAATTGCGTCGCGCAGCCGACTAACACGAGAATAATTCTTGTCCGTGCTTGGATCATGGCGAGGGACTTATAACCCTTACAGAGAAGACCTTGGGTGCAAATCGAATCCTATCAGTCGTCTCGAAAGTAAAAATCATTATGCTTCTGCAGTTGCTTGTCTGGTTTCATAAAGGCGGAGCAGTCGAGCTATGGTAGTCCTCGTCTAGTCGATATTTCAAAAGACGCTACTTGCGACATGATTTTTTAAAACGCATGTATGTTCCCTCTCTGTCGTAGTTAAGGGTGACTACGTCTTATTTGGGGCGGTTTTCTTTATGATGCATCCATTTTGCAGCTACCGCTCAGCTCAGCCTCGAATTGAGTATTAAACAACGTCTCTGATCCTCCCCCAAACACCTGGCTACATAAAAAGGGTTAATGACACTATAAAAAGGTTTACGACTGAAGTTAAACCGTATTCCTGTAGTGCGGGAAGCATGACACATCTGTAGTTTGGGACAATAAAACCGCGATTGGTCAGAATATTATATGTCACACGTTTTGAACTACTAGCCCCATGTGGTATTTGAGTTCATATTATTATATTGAACCTTCAGTCCCGTTGGGCTGCGAACGGTAGTTTATTTGGTGTGGGGTGAAGTAGGGTGGGTGAGAAAAAGGAAGGACCTAGGATTCGAACAACGAATGACATATCCTCATCCCAGCTTATTAGTATTGGCCTTAGAGACACTTGAAATACTTATCATCCGCGTGCACATGCCATATCGCCAACCATCTATGTCGGCAGGTTCAGCATCTGGAAAAATAAGAAAAGAGAGAGCATGATCGAGCATCGGAAACATTTGTTTTGTCTTTGAGCCTACGAACTTGTGTCAAAATAAATATCCGGAGAGATTAGCAGCAACATTTCTGAAGACTGTCGCAGATCAGAAGGCAGTTACGCACTACTCCGTATTCGGGCGCGAGATCAGTGTCGGTCGGGTGCACTGTTATCAGAGGTGCAGACTTCAGCCACTGACCACCTCAAAAAATATCCCAACGACGAAAAGATTATTTATGCTGCTTTATCTTACTGAAGTGTACTCGTCATACTGTGCCCTAATGTATATAACAGCGCATTGGGATTTTCACTTAAAGTCTCATCTGCTGTCTTTATATAAAAATAATTATTTTGTCGCGGAAGTTGAACTTTTCCTAATTAACAATATTGATGCCGTTGGAAATTGCTTGGATACATCAATTTTACTGTCAAAGGAAGCATTTTGACAGACACGAGGACGTTTTACAAACGTCTGCTGAATACGTTTCCGGCTTGAGGTGAATTTACCCACTAATAAATAGCAATTAAGTTGATTTTTGGTAGCGCTTTCCGTTTGCTTCTCACAATGCCGCATTCATAAAGTCGTTTGTCATCGCAAGTAAACAGACGAAACTAATGGTTTTGATGTCTTTAAGCAGTTCCGGTGTAGCTGCCCAGTTGGCCACAGGTATATCCCTGAAAACTCGTTAACCTTCAAAGAGTTTTATGGAGACCTGATTTACGGGAGGACTTCATTTGTTTCACATATGCCTTGGCAAAGTTAGTTAGTTGATGTTTGAGTAGATTGTTTAGGGCATTGAATGCGATGTACCCGTGTTCTCTCTGCTTACGAATATGGCAAAGGACATTGTGCGATAAAAGTGCCAAATCCTACACTTTCATACGTACCAGTTGTTTCGTCGTATTTTTGTATTTTGAGCATAGGTAGACAAGCACACAGCTATTTTTAGCTCTATTGTCTAAAAGAAAACTTCTGCTAAGCTCCAATTTGTGATGCGAAACCCTAAAAGGTAGCAAAGAAAGCAAACATGGAAATAGGCCGTCTGACTGTTTCATGCATGTATAAGAACTTCTAGTCCAAACGTCGTCTGGACGTAGGTCGCATCTACCTCACCGTTTCTTTCCACATTCACCCCAATACGGTGGCGAGACGTAGACGCAATAGGTGTGACATCTAACTGCGCGTTTTTGTGTGCCTCATACGCTCCCTTTTCTACATGCACCCCAAATGGACTCCCAAGGGCCGGAGGCCTCGGATTAATAGGAGTCGCCATGACGACTAAGTCAGGACGAGCCACCGAAGTCTGACTCTCTCACGTTAGTTGACAGCCCTAGGGGCCACCATTTTTGGTACGATGTGACAGTCTGCAATTTTACTGGATCATTACCACTAAGAGTTCTTGCCCAACGCCCCCTTCAGACTATCTCCTCGTATACCAGCTCGAGGCAGGTCGACTGTGAATGGCAATGATCATAGTGGCCATTATCACGGAATCAGGTGCAGACGGGTGCCCGTGTGATGTCGGACAGGTCGAGCGTCGTTGTTGACGATGCTTGCCGTGTGTCGAACAACGTGGCGGGCGCGGATACGATGACTTAGGCATGGGCTTGCGCTGCATTTACCACTCTCTCTTCCCATGACTCAAGCAGCTCCCGGCTCACGCGGTTGTCATTTCTTGCGAGAATTTCGGCCTTGTCAAATTTGAATGTGTGGCCGGATCTCGTCGAATGAGCCGCAACTTGAGAGCTAGCGTCGTTTCTCCGCACCGATGCAGCATCGGAGGCAACCATCAGGCGTCAGTTAATAAAAAAACCGCTGCCACAGCAAGAAACGCCTGGAGTAGTTTGTCCGATCTGGTGCAGTTGCGGACAAAGCAACTACGTCGGAGAAACCGGAAGACTGACTCGAACGCGAATGGCCGAACACACTACAGCGGTGCGGAGGACTGACACTAGCTCTCAAGTTGCGGCTGATGCGACGAGATCCGGCCACACATTCAAATTTGACGAGGCCGAAATTCTCGCTAGGAGTGACAATCGCGTGGGCCGCGAGCTGCTTGAGTCATGGTTTACTGGCCCCCAGTCTACTAACAAGTGCAATGATCGTCCCATTCCACACTCGGTGCTGATACTCCGCCTAGGCGTAGTAATTAGCCACGCGGGGAGCGCATGGGTGAACACTGTTCCCAAATTCAGGGTCGGTGTGTCAGATGGTCGAGCAGTCATCACACCAAAATCCAACGCACGTGATGAGACTGCATCAATTGACAACGCCAATGTCGACCATCACGCCACGCGCAAAGATCTCTGATGAATATTCATAGGTATGCGGTGGCCTGGCGACTGCATCCTATAAATACTGAAGCCCCTTATGCATGAACCACCCGTATCTGTTTTTGTCTCTGATGATGATTTCGAGCAGGAATCCGAAACGTCAGGCTAATAAAGCTCTTGTCCCAGCGATCGTGTCACCTTCTTCACAACTCTCTTCCCTCTCATCCATCTGAACCCAGCGTCAGGACAGAGTCAAGAAGACTCCAGGCGGGATCAGGTCTGGGAAGCATTGCGACCTGAACCTCCGTCTTGAACGGAGGGCCGAGTTATCCCGTCGGTTAGTGACCTTCCAAACCACGCCTTTTTTTGCGCACCGTGATAGATTGAAGCGCGTCAGATTGTTTGCAGTGAGGAATATGCGCTGAGTGCCGTGAGAACACGATTCCCAGAGTCGAGTTCGTTTTCTCTGCCCTCTCCCAGGCCCTATTTCGCTATCCGAACCGGTCAGTAATCTAACGCGGAGATTGGGCGCCTGTGTCCTCCCGCTCTAAGATCAGTCGTTTTCACAGTAAGCACTCATGTCACAGGACTCCATATGTCATTCTGGATGCAACGACTGCATCGAAGTAGACGTCGACTTACATGCCAACTCATTCCCTCACAGACTACCAGACCCAAAGAACCTTTAACCACAGGGACCGTTTGAGTGCCAGGCAGTCACTCTCGGGTAAGGTAACTCGCGATGCCCTAATGCAATGACCCTGGGCCTAACTCATACGCAGAAGCACAAAAGAGAGGAAGACATGGATATGAGAATTCGAAATTTTTAGGCAGGACTCAACTGCATCAGTGTTCACCCATCGTCTATTATCATTTAAAATTCATCATGGTAATAGTAGTTGTTTAGACCGACGCCAGAAAAAGAGCAAGGGTTTTGGGTTCTCCAGTTGACGAGTACCATATGTGGGCCTGAATCGTGCTCAGATCTGAAACTGTGCTGCCGACTGTCAAATAGGCAGCACAGTTTTGTATGGCCTTGTTAAGGTCTAACTCAACAACGCAGTGCATTTTAGGGACCCAATCCTCCAATTGGGAGCGCGAAGACGTGACCACTCACGCAGTTCACACACGCATGCACGCGCGCGCCATTGATATGTGAGGAATACATGGGTGCCTGAGGTCTCTCTCTGATTATTCACATACTGCGAGGATGACGTCGTTTGGTTCGGGTCGGTACCGGGATGAAGATGGCTCCAGGATTGCTGACAGTTAGTTTGAAACTTACTTTAGTTTGCAAAATGACTTATTCTTCTATCGTCAACGTTTGCGTTTGCGATTTCAAAACTGGAATCACCAAATGTTCATTGCGTCACTTTGCATTTAGTCGCCTACCAGTTCTGAGATTTTAATTAGAAAATAGTATCGGCGATCATATGCAGACATTAGAGAACGACCGATTGAGTGAACTAGCCTGATCTAAGCTTACTAGGTAAATATTTCCCGTTTGCTAAGGACACCAAAGTAAGTCTTGAAAGCATTTTGCATTTCTGGGAGAAGTTATCCATCTTTGAGAAACATAATAGGATAACTTATTCTCACACATTAATCATTATAAATACGCGCATTTCCCTTAACAGATTATATTTCATCCAAGGATGGAGTACTGTTCACAAAAGCAACACGCGGGGGTAGATATTTATTTATATTTCTTACATTTGGCATCCTAAATGCACTTGCTGAGTTGCTGATGTGTGCTTTTTGCTTCCATTATTTTCACGACATTTATTCAAAGAGAGTGTCAAACCTGTTTTTGGGATATTTTAGAAAACGTTACCGGTTATTACACCCCAAATGAGGGCAACTGTCCCTGTTTCGGTGTGTGAAAAGATAACTTATATTGTTCTTAAATCACACTTTTACCTTGCAGCATGTAAGACGACAACAATTGCTGAGATTACACATTTTATTATACAGGTCAATCTCAGTGCCGTCCCACCAGCCGTTGCGTTCGTGCCCCAGCATGCTGTAAGTGGCCGTTCATTCTCTCGTCAACTGCATATCGACAATCCGATCAATCGAACCCAATAACCCACATATTTTGATAAACGTTTCCTTCTTAACCAATAGATGAATTTACAAGCGACGTAAAACCAGGTATCACGAAGCAGTACAGGGTCGTTCTCATTTTAAACAAACCTAATTGTTACCCCCTGCCAACTGGTGTCGCTGGTTTTCGTTTGCTGCCTCATATTCGACATCCTGCAGAGGGAAGCTAACCCCTTTCGCTCTCGTGATGACTACGTTTTTTGTCATTTGTCAGTTTTTGGATTTTGTGGTGTCCGCCTGCAGTGTAGCATGTTGCGTTCGTAGAGCAATGCCAGCTGATTTCTCGCGAGGTGGCCGTTTGCACTGTCACCATAATCGTGCCCTCTATGCACGTCGGCACCTCAAATACTGATGTTTGATTTAGCCCGCAGTAGCATTACAGGCGGAGTCGTTAATTAGCATACTCACTCCCAACTTTGTGTTTTAAAGCTCGGAACTTCCGCGACGATGACGATCTGCCGATCTTCCCACTGTACACGCCAAGTAGGTTACACAGGTTGTGAGATCTTGATACCTGTCCTCTGGCAGACTCGACGCCTAGTCCTTCTTTACGTTCTTTCCCCCTCTCCCCCTTAAAAGAGTCCAAAAGGCAGGGGCGTCGTCGTCGTTCAATCTCATCCTGCTCTTCCTCATCATCCTCATCTTCTTCATCTTCATCGTGCACGTCTTCTTCTTCCTCCTCCTCCTCATCGTCATCCATCTCCTCATCTGAGAGCAGTTATGAAGAATGTGAGTTTTTTACGATATCTTACTCTGATTAGGAGCGATAATTTTTTCCTGAATTCTCTTAATATCGCACATCTAAAACTGTTTTTAGGTGGACGATGCGCGGACTGCAGACGAAGGAACGGTTAGTTTGAGCATTTGTGTGTGTGAGTGGGTGTGTGTGTCAAGGTGAACGACCTCGTAGTTCAGCTGGTCTTGTGTTAAATTTCAGGGGATATTAGGAGTAAGGTCAGTTAAGGTTGTGGCTGAAGTTAGGGCACGAAAATACCTACTGTCCGGAATTTAGCACAAAATCACATGCAGTATGACAGGGTCCTTACTCTCGTCTCCAGCCATTTCATCGATTTAGGCCTATATGTTAGCTTGGTGTTTTCTAAACCCTCCATATACTCATGGCTCCCTGAATACGCATTTCCGCAAGAACGTCAATACTGCCCAACTATGAGGCTAACTTACTGTCGCCAGTCATGGACCTAATATAATAGGTTAGGAGGCCTTATGAAGTGAGGTATATAAGCATGTCAAGTGGGCGTTTGACCCTCACTGTTGTGGTTAGGATCTCACTCGATCCCATTCTGTCCGCCCGCCAGCTTGCTACTGGCGACAACGAACGCTGTGTCAGAGGACACATACCACATATAATACATGAGCAGCTCGCTAAGAGTGCAGCAGGCCAGACGCAGACAGCTGTTTCAAGGACAGAAAGGAATCGAATGAGATCCTAACCACAGCAGTGAGGGTCAAACGCCCACTTGACAGATATATATATATATATATGCGTACTGATAGATGGAAGTTTAACGATCGGTTTGCGGAACATGCTTAGCTATGCCGGTCTCCTTTGTTTTTGTCGGAACCATCTCATATGTATACATACATATGCAGTTGCAATCTAGCGATCTCATGCGCAGAAGATGCAGGTTTTTAAAAGACGCAGAATTATAAGTTCTTGCTGATATGTTTAATTTAACCTGTGGTGCCGTTACCCCTATACCTGCTTACTGCTCAACACTCTGTGGTTTTATTGTCCCTACAGCATCCAAGTGCCGATCGGGTAAGCTTGAAAATTCATTTTCATAACCAGACTGATCTCGTTGGCCTGCAAGATTACAAAAATACTCTATCAGTATATTTATACGGCTGGTTAGCATAGGTGGCTAATTGGTCAAAATGTGACGTTGGTTCTATTCACTTCTGTATTCACATTTCTGTATTAAAATCCAAAGCAAAACGGGAAGTGCAATCGGCAAGTTGGACTCCCATGTTAGATGCTATGCCGTATGCCAATTAATAAGACAACGAGTCAGTTTCTTAATAATAGACAGTTGAAGTTAACGTCCAGCGACCAAATAGCCCGGGGCCGATTTCCAGCTTTGAATAGGGCTTTTTAATAGCGACTGGTAGGCAGAAAACGGTTCTGGCGGTCCCGCTTGTCATTGTCGTTATTTTCCCTTAATGGTCCTGATGTATGTTGATTTCGGGCTGGTTTCGTCTCCAGTCTTTCACTGTTTCTACCAAGACCGACACGTCACTCCCACTGTGTGTTGCTGCCTGCATGTATCCTTACCACATTCCATAATCTGGGGGGAGGCGATTGCTTTTAAGAGGCCTTTCGAGTCGAGGGCTTGCAAAAAGATGTTAGGGTGAAAAAACGTCAAGGAGGTCAGTGAAATTTCTATCCTTTGGTAAGCAAAGGAACCCGAAGAATAATAGACCTGATCACACGAGATAAGAGAAGAAACATAATGTCATTATGTGGCACCCCTGGATTACGTAAAACCATTTTCTCTTACGTCTGCTTCTTCACGTAGTTTTTAAAAAAGGTGTCCTCACTGGAAATGCTGAGTGCTTCTATGATTGTAAATTTCAATGAGCCATGTGCGTCGCTAATTTAAAACAGCATGCAAGATCTGTCTTTGAGGCCACACCCTTACTCTCTCACTTTTGAGGGAAACGCGAACAAACGCTGACCTTCTGCTGAGAAAGTCCGCATTATTTAAAATGTAACACTCCCTCGATGAAAGTTTTGATGTTTTCGGAAGCTGTTTGACTTAGCGAAAATGAGAGGAATTCTTTCATTTGTTAAATAAGGACGAAAAATGTACTTTTCGAAACTCTGGCATACAAATGACGAAATATTAGTAAACCATTAGCATTGGAACATAATTAGGTAAAAGCTAATGCATGATAAGATTACATTATAAGGTACAACAAACTATGAGATGCAACATTTAGTATTTATTTTATGGTTATATTTTGTGATATGTGATATGATATAAAAGATAACGTAATAAAATGCATAATATGGTAGTCACATTATACCACCATGTTCTTTTTCAAATTCTTCCTCTTACAGCGTCCAAAAAGAGATATCGTGAGTAAAGAAACAATTTTCAATGTACAAATGTTTAGTCAGTTGGCTCTAAAACGGGCCTTATAGTTCTAAGAATGCGCGTTATCCACGTTTCACCTAAGGCATCTTTGCCTGCAATCTGGAGAGATGAGAGACGTTAATTCAACGTAACCTTGAATATTACCCATCGCAGGTGTTGGCTCTCGACTCAACGGTAGAGCGTTTAGCTCGTGCTTAATTCTGAAGCCAGAGAAGGCTAACAGACAGAAAATAAAAATTCCACTAAAGTGTGCCTTTTGTCGTTCAGCAATGTTGGTGGTCTCAGGTCAATTTTTACATATTAATGTCGTCGTCAATGTTCAAGAAACATTTACAAAGTCACGCAGACAATTAATTTCACAACGCACATAGATTGAGAGGTAGTGCAAATTCATTACGGTGGTAACTAAGAGAGAGCCACCCTTATGTGATAAATTTAACTACGAAAACTGCTTTCCATCCTGATAAAAGTAAACAAGCGACTGACGATTTCGCACTCAAAAAAGCTTGCGCGGGATTGTTGAAATTTTTTCTACTCGTTAATACACGCTGTGATATATAGTAAATTCATATATTCTACCTTCAGCATCAAAAAATAGAGCTGGCAAGTGGGAAACTTGTCTCATTCAAATAAAAATGAATCCTTATTTAAATGTTCAACTTATTGGCCAGTCTCAAATTCCAAATCAACCACATGTCTTCCGTCCAATCAAAATATAATACATTTCGAAGTGATTGGTTAGGAATTATGCCCATATCATGAATGTTCCTTAGTTAAGATCCCCTTAAAACACCAACTTGGCATCTGTGGTCATTTCACGCAAGCAACTTAATGTATTCATTGCAAGACTGGATACTAAATATATCATACGATGCTTTGCTCTTTCCGGTCATGAGTGAGTTCCGATTCGTTGGATCAGCGTGCGTTTAACAATATGATCTAAGCTACAAAGGCACAGTTAAACTGCGCAAATGGCTTCAGTCAAATGTCAGTGAAATTCACACCGTTGATCATCTCGAACTGGTGATCGACTTCACGTTTCACGTGCGTAATTCAATTTGATTTAAGCAGGTTCTTCATTAGTGGGGTGGTATTTTCAAGCATTTCCTATAATTCAAATACGGCCGTCTTCCGTTGTTAAACTGGTTTTGTCAGTCATGACACAAGTGTCAGTTGATTTGATGACTAAGATGTGGTCCGCTTGCGTGTCTAGTTCTGTCGGTTGTATGGGCGACGTGTGCATTAGCCGGCAGGCTTATCGTGCATCGACAGGTATCGTCTAAGACATGGTTTATGTCGTCTCTAAACCCTTTGCCCCTTGATGCAGGGTCAGCGGATGTTGGATTGCTAGTATGACGTAGGCATAGTGTTGACAGACGACGGTTAATGGGTTGAAAATGAACATTCCGGTCCGCTCTACTGAGTACTTTACCATGCCGACGGCACGGTACTGACTAGAAGTTTTTGACTCATATCTGTGCCGTTATTATAGTAAATCACTCAGTATGTTTACATCACTGACTGCCTACTGGCAGATCATAAATACTACACGGTTATTGCGCAGTCGCTAATGAATGCCAGGATGAATAGTTATATCATCTTTCAAAGAATGTACTCCAAGTTTGCGCACTAATTTCCAAAGAAATTAAAAAGGACACTCTACTCTCTAAATGTCGTTGAATGTTGGGCGTCCTTTATCAGTCTTCATATGTTAACTACGTCATGGAATGCCGTCGCAGTTCACCCCAATGGAGAGGCAGTGTCCAAAGTTCACGGCCGATTTTAGACCGAAAGCTCTTTTAGTACCAAATGGGCTAAATAGGGCGGTGGACGACATCGTACGCAAAAAATCTGGCACAGATTTATTGAAACGTTCTTTGTTTTTATTAATACGTCTGCTCAGTGTATGCCTCATCTTTCTTTTCTTGCTTTAGCATCAAAGAAGGGGAATGGTATGTGTAAAAATTTCTTAAATTAAACCGTCAGATTGACATTAAGCTTCATGTGACAAATGACTGCCTTTTAAGCCGACACTAGACTGACTGCCTTCTCGAACTAAAATTCGGGCTACAATATGTGTATTTAGTGCATCTATCACAAGACCATCAACAGTTCTGCTTCTCCATTTATTTGAAAGTTGCATCCATAGGATATAAAGATGTAATCGTTGCAACACGAATCCCATTGGCCTGCTCTTATGGATTCGCACTCGGACCCATCACTAGAGGCAACCTCAGAAAAGGGTATTGAAGACACAAGGGGCGCGGTATTTGTAGGACACAATAGTCAGTCCGCCATCGCGTTCACATCTGGGGGTGATGTGATGATGGCTTGTCGATCCGCACCCGAGTTTTTAATTACTGTGATTTGATTGTCGTCGTTGAGTCTTGAAGTGAGACGATTAGCCGGCAATTTTACTTTCTGTAACCGAATCTGCCGGTTGACCGCGCCCTCCTCGCGTGGCCAATTATTTGACCCAGACAGAATCGGGACACAAAAAGTGGAAGGGAAAGGTCACTGAGTTTGTTGCTTAAATGTGGACCGGAGAACCAGAGTTCAGAACAGCGATTGTCGTCTGTTGCGAGAACTCCGGCCTCATCAAACTTGAAGATTTGGCCGGCTCACGCTGACTGTTTTGGTGCTAGGTTCGGGCAAAAATCCAAGATGTCAAGCCAATACCGATTTTGTTCCCCCAAACGCATCTTTTTCTTCTTATTAAATGCTTCCGGGAACTCGTCTATTCGCTTCTATCGGTTGCATCATTATCTTCTGTTCATAGAGAGGTCGAAGAGTCGACAAAGGCAACCAGCATGCCGACGTACGTCCATCTGCTGTGTATAACCGCAAAATCCTGAATCTTATGCAACACACTAACAATCCTGCATCTTTTTCTTCCAGCCAAGTGGGAGCCAACGTTCGACCTGTCTGAGCCCTGTAAGTGTGACCACAGTTCTTCGTGTGACCATCCGAGAGTTTTTCATTGGCATTTACTAACCGCCGCCTTTTTTTCTACCTCCAAAAGGTGATTTTCAAAAATGTACCGCAAAAGGTGAGCACAGCTCTTACTACCTTCACAGAAACGGACAAGTTGTTTTGACATTTGAATTCCCTTTTTCGATAGCAAAACTAGGGCGCTTTGTATGATTTTAGTATATGCGATATATTGGGCAGGTCTGATCACACAAAGTAATTTATTGAATAGTGACTAATCATGGTAATTTTAAACTGATTATTTTGCAGAGCCTAGACATAAGAAGGGTGAGTCTAATGAAAAACTTTCAATCTAATGAATAAAGTACCTTCTGTGCACCGAATCACACATTAAAATAAAACCACTTCATTTTAAAAGGCCAATGTGACGTCTGCGAGAAGAAACAACACAGTAAGTTTCGAAGCGAATAAAGCTCCCAAAAATTGCTTTAACAAATGCTTTACATATTCTCGAATATGTGGGAGCTTTTGAAGAAGCATCGAAACATTTTGTTTTGTTTTACTGTGCTTGAAAAGAATGGATAAGTAAAAATAAAACTGACCCCCCATTTTTGATAATTCGCCTTTTTATTCTAGACGTTCGTGAAAACGTTACAATCGCAAGTGGAAGAAGGAGTAAGCAACGTTGCCCTATGCGTTCAGTCTGTGTCAAAAACGGGACATATTACTGAATATATATTCCTATTATGCATCTTTTAGGCACAAGCCGATCATACATGAAACCCAGTAAGTTTCATACTCAAATTTGCTTTGATGTATCTTTTATACTGGGCAACATCAGTGGCTGCTCTGAGAACTTCGAGTGCGTCATTCACATTGACAGAAAAATTATATCAACTTCCATTTGTATATAAGAAGCAACAAAACCTATTAAAAGCACCCCGTTGACATGAAATTCGTTTGAAAATCATTAAAAAGTGTCCAGTCATAAAACATTCTGTGACTATTTACTGCTATAACTAGTAAAAACTAGTCGTTTCATTTAAAACCGTTTTTTCATTGTACCGATGCGGCGTTAAATAGCCATCAGGGGGTTTTGTACGTAAGTGAGGAAATGGTTTTAACATTTCTGAGAATGGAGAAGCCATTTTTTCTGAGTTTGCTATCAGTAGCGAGACATCTCCTACCGAAATTTGCGGTTATACTGATTGGGGAGAACCTCCACCTACAGGTAAGAGCGCAACACGAAACTAACAGAAAATTCAGCAGATATTCCTCGTCTCAGTAAGACCACTGGGAACTCAATACAATTTCGGAGGCAAATTTCCCGAGGCTGCATTGCAATAATACGGTATAGGGTAGCACATGGCTATAATCTGACGACCGCGCCTGTTAGAAAGACATTGATCTATTTGTCCAAATACTGGAAAAAAGAGGAAACGAATAGGCATCAGAGGGGAATGACGAGAGGTGTGAAATCGTTTGGTCCCAGACAACAAATTGGTCCGATGTGGTTATTTAGCCCCACCCGAAGTAAGCAAATCCCAGTCACCTCTAATACGGGACCGATGCTAATAGTTTTTACAGGTGGGGCCAGGGAACGCACAGACGTCGAGGTCAAGGAGTTGTATGCAAAAGAAAAGCTATTGGGAATGCGCGGTTTTATTTTGAATGGCTGAGAAATAGTTGCGTGAATCTCTAACTATAAGCCCTAACCCTAATTCCAAGCTCTAATCCCTAACCCTAAACCCTAACCCCAATCCTTAACCCCAACCCCAGCAGTACTGTGTCCATCAGCTGGGGCTACCAAACTACATCTTACCGAAAGATTATATATGAACGGGTATTTAGGGAAGAAAGGCTTCCATGGAGCCCGACATACAATAGGTTGTCTATCTCATAAAGTGCTAGCCTAGATTCTGAACTGTCTTTTAAACAAGAAAGGATTTCTTACGGAAGATTTTGATGTTGGTTACAACGCTGCATAAACTTACAATAGTTCAGTCGTTCCGAGTTGCTGACTTTTGAATAAGTTTGTTTCCAGCCACCTGCATAAACTCGGAAAAAAACGACTGCTTAAGTAGTATGAGGCTCTCCCATTGACTTTCGATGACTATCCATATTCGAATATATTTTATATAAAACACGGGCGGAAATAGCTTTTCTTGCACTCATTCGGTAGAGAAGTGCATCGTTTTTCACACTTTAATGGTTACATTTAGGGTATTCTTCGCTTTCCAACAAGGTTGTCAATTTCCGAATAAGGTTAAACGCAAACTGTTGTTGTCCGTACGCTTAGAATAACAAATCTTCATGCTGCCTACTTTCTGTGTAAGAAAAATCACATATTTTTCTAAGCTGTTTAGAAGCCACCGTAAAGACCTAATAGAATTTTACAATGGATACGAACCGTGTTGTTTACTTTATAACTAGCACTAGCAGATGTACTGATGCGATGCTGTAGTAAAAATTTTATAGTCGGAAATTTTTTACGAACCCGAAGAACGCCTTTTTTGACAGTTGAAATTTGAAAAAGACATAACTGTTTTCCAAAAGAGCACAAGTAGAAATGTCTACTACATAACTAGTCATTTTTTACGGAGCGAAGCTTATGCACTTGACCGGAAAGTAGCTCATTTAAAAGCCGGCACTCTAGCCTGACTGAATTGTTGTAAAATTATGCCCCACGATAACTAATATTACACCCTCACATAAATAGTCCTTCCTAATCGGAAGCATATTGTCGGACGTTGTTCGACATTTCATGGGATGACCCATCTAGTACGTCTACAAAAGGCTTCTGAACACCATAAAACATCGAATAGAAACTGCAGACGTGCTTTTTTAACACGAAGTATTGCTTGAAATGAATTTAATCACTGGTCATCCTGGGGAATGTTTAAAAAATGACTGATACGTAAACGTCCTTACAAAAATCAGCCGTGTTCGTTACGCATTTTGACAACTTTCTGTGTTTGTCGCAGGCCAATAAGCTTTTATAGGAATGGCTGACCTAAGGCTCATTACTGATAGGCAATTCGTAGGAACTAAACTTTTATCTATATTTGTGTGTTCGAAGCCTAGTGTATTTTGAGTATTCGAAAACACGGGATATATTATTCTTCGGAAAACCCTCCTTTTTGCATGTTCTCAAAGGTCTAAAACTACGCAGTTTCTAGATTCTTCAGCAAAAGTAGGTCTGTTTATTTTCCTGACAGTAATGAAGCGCTGAAATCTATCTGTAGCAGTCTATAGGCGTCAATTAGCAGCTTAGAAAACGTACGAATAGCAACCTAAACTGCATTCAAGCGAAGAGTCTATAAGCTCTCTAACTTGGGTATTTGACGCTGATTTCATCCGATCCTTTAAAGCCTTTCGAAAACGCAAGGTCTGTTCCAGCCAACAGGAAAAATGAGTCTTCCTGTCAGTTCTGGTGCTAATTGATTGGTGTTTCGAAACAAGTAAAAACTAAATTAACAAAACTTTGCTCTCAATTGTTCGTCAGTTCATTTGAAAAGACAATTATATATAAATGAGCCTTACAGTACGTTCCCTGCTATAGTAGCTTGAAGTATTACTGTTTTGGAATACTCGCTCTGCGATCCCGCTACTTGTGCTTTGGCAAATAAGTTAACACTCTTCCCAGCTGGTCAAGACAACGCATAAAATTCAGACGGGTCTAATGCTTGGATCCCTTGCATCCACTTACTGGAATACTGTTATTTATTTTTTAATACATAAAGATCTTTCCATGTTCATAACAGACTCTTACCATCGCTGTCAAACCTACCGACCGAGTAAAAAAGAAGGCAAGTGATAATGACGTTTGCTATGCACTGTGAGTATTTTCTGTTACCTTCAAAATGCTCTCAAACTATTGGTTTTATAGACTCCGCGTATCCGTGCCTGAGCGGAAATTGCGGTAGGTTTATTAGGAATCATTCTAGCCCTTGCAGTTAACTTGCTAACGGGTTGAGCACTGTCATATTAATGTCCTTCCAGGCCGATATACAAATGCTGGTAATGTCATCCAGGATTTATTTTTGTTGACATATGAAGAGATAATTCATGCAAACTGACAGTATTTGATCTCTTCCTGACACAGCAGCTCAGCGTTAAGTGAAATGCTTATGATGTTGTTTATTCTAGGCTATGGCGGACTAGCAACCTCCTCAGGTGAGCGCAGTGTCTTCCAGTTACGCCTAATTTTAACTGTAAAGCACAATAATAGCTAAAAAAAGTTTCAATGAATATAGCGAATTCAGTTTCTAGAACTTCCAAAAGTGAAACTGAAGCCGATAGTAATTCAGTACAGGCGTTTGTGCCGACCTTCGCGTAAAAAAACATCCGGTCGGCCTCGACGTTTCAATTTCACCAATAACTAATATAAGCACAATAAGTGCTTCTTTAGGAATTAAAAGAATACAAAGTAAATAGTGAATGCCCTCAATATTTCTTTTTTGAAATGTTAGTTTGAAGAACGTGCTTTTGATCTTGTTCTAAACTCGGAAAATTATTTGGCAATTGACTTGCAAAACATTGTGAGAAGGATGATATCAGGGAATCTCCAATTGCCCTGCTTAAATTTTCTTTATCATTAATTTTCCCAAATCATTTTCCGTGTTATAATTATTTTAAGAGAAAACTCAAAATGACAGCACTAAATAGTATTTGAAAATCAGTCAGACTTCTGCAGATGCGCAAATACACCAGCGAACTCTTTGCTAAGTACTGTCGCAAGCAATCGGCACGCGGCAACGGAAGCTCTCAGTTTAATCAGAAAGTTGTATATTTTGTAGCGGAGAGAGCGTGCTTATTTTACTTCGTTAAGTCGATGCTGTGATATCATTGAACTTCCCGCATATACCTAGCCGCACGCGAAGTCACTATAAAGTGAGATTCACAGATGGGAATGAGGACATCCTTGAACTGGATAGTTGACAATTTAACTTACCACAAGCAAAGGGAGATAGCATCCCCATGGTGTCTAACAATGCCCTGACCGTTCGCGATCTGGTTCTTGGGGTGCAGGATTTTACAAAACGGGAACTTCATGACCAGTCTTCTGACACTCTGTATTATCAGACAACTAGATTATCTTACGCTATGATTCACGATGCAGTTTGTCCTCTTTTTACTTTTCCCTCATTTAGGAGATAACTACTTCTTTGAACGTAATGCACTTTGGTGCTTTCCTTCGCATCGCTTGGTCTAACTCATTACTGGTTTTCTTTTGTGCATTACTAATCCAGATGTGCACAAGACAAATCCAGCAAAAGATAGACGCACGCGTTCTTAACTGTGCATTTGACAACTAAAGCCTGCTCTGATAATTTTTGACACTTAAAAACACGTATACGTGTTGCTGCAAATGATTTTTTTCAAAAATAATAACTCGAAGATTGTTTAACAAGATCATTTGTTCTTAAAATTTAGCCTCTCGCCCATCAACCACACTGAGACCTGGCCCCCCTGAAAGTAAGCGAGAATTCCCACCTCTGTGTGCATAATATTCGCTCCAGGGAGAAGTTAAAACATCTACCTAGTACTTACTTATATATGGGCTTTACACCGTACGTCCAACATATATGCTAGCTAAAAACCCAGATCAAGCAAACAATTTCAGAAATTATTCAGTGCAAGACAGAGGGCTAAGTCTCCGCGAAATGACTTTTAGGGTCATGCCCGAAATTTCAATGAACATTCGAGTTGAAGACGATAAACTGCAGTGGAATAACCACTCAGTCGTGTCTTTTTGCTTTGCAGTTCTCTCTTGAGCTCCTCCAGCAGCCGCACAGCGACGCATGATATAGGCAGACTTTTGTTACCGACAAAGCCATTCCAGTTCCCTTGTCTTTGACGGTAATAACATTATGCCCATTTATATATATGGGCAGAATGATATTACCGACAAAGACAAGGGAGACTGGAATGGCCATTTCTGGCTTATTAGCCGTCGTCAGCCAGCCATACCCAAGCCCGAAGTGTGGAACACCCGAGCCTCGAACTCGCGACCTGTTGGTTTAGAAGTCAACGCCTCTACTCACCGGGCCACGAGCCCGTTGCCCTGTCGGTTTTCGATCGGAAATATACAATGGTAGGGGGCGCTCACCGATCGTTCATACGGAACTCACTCGTTCCGTTGTGCCTTACGGGCTCTCTCTCCAGCCCACCCAGCAGCCGCACAGCGGCGCATGATATATAGGCAGAATGATATTACCGACAAAGACAAGGGAGACTGGAGTGGCCATTTCTGGCTTATTAGCCGTCGTCAGCCAGCCATACCCAAGCCCGAAGTGTGTGGCGTTGACTTCTAAACCAACAGGTCGCGAGTTCGAGGCTCGGGTGTTCTACACTTCGGGCTTGGGTATGGCTGGCTAACGACGGCTAATAATCCCTAAATGGCCATTCCAGTCTCCCTTGTCTTTGTCGGTAATATCATTCTGCCTATATATCATGCGCCGCTGTGCGGCTGCTGGTTGGGCTCGAGAGAGAGCCCGTAAGGCACAACGGAACGAGTGAGTTCCGTATGAACGATCGGTGAGCGCCCCCTACCATCATATATATATATATATATATAAAACGGTTCTGTGTCAATCTACCCCTCAGTCTCTGTTGCCTCTCCTCTACTATCATTGCTTGCCCGACTTCGGCCCGGCAGTTAGCTGCCTGTTCACGACCTCTGTCAATTATACGAGGCTTGTTTGCTTCGTGAAGCCAACTGGTCAGTGTGCACCATCCCTGAAAGCGTGTGCTATGCCAGTATCAGCAAACCATGGCCCTCATAGCCTAGTATGCGTTGGCAGTTCTCCAACACCTGGTGCCCTGCCGGCAAATGCGCTTACGCTTCCGCTGGGTACACAGGTCATGGGCATGACTCCTCAGTCATCCTCGTCTTTCTGCTGCTGATGTCGTTGTTGATGTTATTGGGCAGAATCTTGGTCGTTTGCTGTGTGGACGGGGGGGTGTGGTGGTACGCCTAAGCACGGGCTCGGCCGTGACATGCATCTGCGCCCCCCTCCACCTCCGGTCTTCCTGACTATGTCTTGACGCCGGGTCCGTGTGGGGAGTAGGGGAAAGTGTGGTAGATGCTGCGCAAGTCTTTTACCAAAATGAATTAAATCACGCAAAAATCACCGTGCCTGCTATCACCTTGCCGTGGAGCGTGTAGTGGGCATCGTCGGCAACAACCGTCAAAATTCCGAATACATATACATATATGAGGTTATCAATAAAGAAAGGGAAGGGCGAGATAGCCATTCCTGACGTATCAGCCGCCACTGGCCATTCCTCCCCAAGCCCCATGTTTTCGAGACCCGAGGTTCGAACCCGCGTTCTTTAGTTTTCGGATGTAAGTCTGTACAACAACTAAACCAGTGAACTCCAGACTCCTTTTCCCGTCGGTTGTGAACGAGAAAATTAAATTTGATAGAAGAACGCCCATCGATCTGACTGTGAGGATGCTCGTCTTGCTATGCCTTGAGGCAGAGTTTAAAGTTATCGCAGGTGGTCCTATAGAGATAGGGGAGATTGGGACGGCGATTTCTGACCTAGTATCTGTCCTCCCGAAACCATTCTCAATCCCAAGTCAAAATAATTTGGTACTTGAACCCGCGTTTAACCACAGAGCCCTCAGATGCAATCCCATAGCAACCAGCAGCAAATTCAGAAAGGGATTACGGAGGGAGAGCATCGGATAGACTGGAATAAGCTTCCTATCCTTGAGCCTTAAACCACTCTTACACGAGCAAGCGCTTTGAATCAGTTACGTAAGGCAAGGCAACTGCATTTGGAAGAAGAAGAACAGCGATCTTTACTTTATTCAGGATTGGAGAGGGAACTTCGAATAAGTTCACTATCGATAAAAAAGAGACGCACAACTGCATTTATAACTGTCTGGTGCGGTTTTTCTTTGTGACCGTGACTCATTTTGCTTCAGGGATTTCCGCATAATAATTGCAATTTCCAAATCGGAATTTTATGCTTCATTTCTAATGTCTGAATTGCATTTTTGTTAAAGGTGGCTTGTACACCGAAGAAGACCTGGCAAGACTCTACTTCTATTAAGTAAGTAGCCATTCGCCATAGGCGTGGGACATTCAAATCATGCGGCGGGAAATTATTGGTCAAATTAAATACATCTCAGAGTTTTGTTCAAACAAATTTGCAAGCTTTACAACACGGAAAAATTAAATTAACTTTCACACATATTTGTGCATTTGCAATGATATACGACGGAGATCTGCCTGTTTTAGGTCTGGAAGCCTTCAAGGCGAATCGACGCGAGATGGGCCAGTTAGACTAAAAGTCCCTCTCCACAAACTCCGCAGATATCGTTTTTTTCCCTATCGTATCTGTAAACATTGGTGCAATCCATGTCCTGCAAATTTGCGCTCTCTTGTGCTTAACTTAGTTAATAATAAAGCAGGTTGTGGGACTCACACTTTTGCTCCATCAACCACCTTTGTTCTACAAGTCTTCTGCTCATGAACAATGATAAGGGTGGCTCTTAGGAAAAATGGGCTGAAAATAAGCTCGGCCGATAAGTGCTCATAATTCTCTTTTGCAAACAGCACGCTCCAATTTAACGGAGGTCCCTTAGTGCCCACGAGACGACCCACGAGAAGGGCAGTCATGAGGGCCAACACTGACCAATGTGCAATGACCCAAAATATATGCAAACCTTTGGTGCCTAAAACGCACGATAGTTCGATTATTTCTGAAGACGATGTTAACTACCGCCCTACGAGTTGGTTGCGACCGTGAACTTGTTTATGGCGAAGCAAGATTGCACTGAATCTACCTAATCCCCTCCTCTCATGATTATGGTTTTTTGGTGAAAAGAAAAGGTCAAAACGACCGGAGACGGACGTGGACTCGATGGTCGGCAAAGGGAACTGCGACAACAGTTCATCTTTCGTTTCCGATGATGTTCACCACATGCTCCAGGGCAGGGTGGAAGCAGGATTGGTGAGTTGCGCGCGAATTCGATCATTGCGATAGTGAACTTGTGCTGAATCTATCGCATTCTCCCCTCCTCCACCACTTGGGCTCGGTGTCACGGCAGAGTCAAAAAGACGGGGGGCGGTAGAGGGTTCAGGTAACTGGCGCGTCGGGGACCCGCACCTAGGCGTGTCGCCACACCCCCTGGTTGTACACTAAATGATCAAGACTTCACACAATAAGGAGGGTGGACGGTTCGGATCCTCTAGCAGTCCGACTCCCAGTCCACTAGTCTGCCAATCCACACAAACGCATACTGGACTGAATGCGAGATCCAAGTTATGCCATCAGTTGGCAATCTCCGAAGCCACGGCTTTCGTTCAGCGCGATAGATTCAAGCACTTGAAGTTGTTCGTACTGAGGAATATACGCTGTGACTGTCGACCGTAATCTCTCTTCCCACTCCAAGACACCAGTCTACTATCCGGACCGGTCAGATGTCTGGTGCCTGAAGTAGGCATAGTGGGTGACAGAGTGAAAGAACCTGTCTGCGCGCGCAACACACACGACCTGGCCTCCTAGACGTACACACCAGGATTACGTACAAGGGAGTGGGAGGCTTGGGTCTCACATGCGCGGGATTGTTACTAAAAGGGAACTATCGCTGTAGGACTTTCACTCCACCCAGTCGGCCGCCCAACGCACGAACGCACCGCTGATAGCTCATACCTCAGACCTGATTTTCAAGTCCACGCATACCTGGCTTCTCTTAGTGAACCGGATTTCCCAGAAGTGACAGCCATTGTAAGGGCAGCGTTAGAAAAGAGCCATTACAGTCTGACCTTCGTTCTAAAAAGGACCAACTTATTCCGTGAATTACCAACCTTACAAGGCACTGAAATTACCGCATCGTAATAAATTCACGTAAAGTTTGGTCGTTTTAATGAGAAAAGTGGGCGCTTGATCCTATCTGGGTCGATTACGGTCAACCATTCTTCTCCCATGTGCGGCGGTCTGTCCGAGTACAGTCATGTGGGGATGCTATATCATAAAGCTGTCGCAAAGTCCTCCCAAATACTACGGTGACCCTGGTGCGGACAATCTAGTACAATAAACCCATGGTACAGTCTTGGGTCAGCGTTTATCTGTTAGTTAATACGCCTAGGCTAAAAAGCGATAGGAGGGTCTTGTTTGTCATGTCATATAACTATGCAATGACCGTGTGCAGCTGAATGAGAAGTCTCGAAATTTATGACGTCAGTAAATTCTGCATGCTTTGTCGCCTTTGCCTTATTCAAATTTATTCCGGGGAAACATTGTCTCAATCTACTGAAAAGATGCCTCCCGGCCATCTCATCAGGTCGCTAAATCAGCTCGTCAGAATAAGATGCAAAATCACCCGAGAAAAGATTAGAAATGAATTCCTACAACCATGCAGACAGACTCGGACATACCCTCACCAATTAAGTAACACCTTCCGAAAAGGTGGCCTGCGGTCCACACTACAAAACCATGACCCCCTCGCCCTCTCGAAAGTGGAGGAATGCGAATATTCACTCTCAATTATGCGCTGCCAGCTAAACTAGTCACAGCATGTGATGGACTCGGTGAGGCCAATGTGTTGGTTATTGTTTACAAAATACGTTCTGAACTTGCAAGCTAAAGTAAGACAATCGTCCCACGCTGATCTGATGAAGTCGCTACATAAACTACCCGTAGGCGAATCGTTTCCAGTAAATCCAGATAATTACATTGTTAACATGTCGGATTTGAAACTGAATAAACTGCATGCCGAGGTCCTCTCTTTGGGACTTAAGTGTCGTGTCGAGAAGAAAAATAGATTCGATGGAGATTGAGGCTCAATTTGAAGACCCATATCACCAATTATCGAAATTAACACCGACGTCAGAGGACAATGTGAGATGGTTGAAAGCGAAATTCGTAGATATCGCCTATTCATATAGAACTTTTCCGACTACGCAACGCTCACTGCTAACTAGACAATACATCTCGGCCCAAACTGGCCTAAGCAAGACTACTGAAGTCGTCGTCTCAAAACCTGACAAAGGAAGCGGTGTTGTGGTCCTAAACAAGACTGATTACGTGAGAAAGATGGAAGCGATATTGAGTGACCCCAGCAAATTTTCCTCGAAAGCCCATGAGAAAGAAGAAACAAAAGCGCTAGAAGACCTTAATGGAAAAAAGGTAAAATCGTTACTTGAAAAGCAAATAATAGACGAGAACATGGCTGCGTGTCTTAGGCCTGTAGGGTCGCATATTTCCAGACTATATGGACTGCCAAAATTGCCCAAACCAGGGGTACCATTACGACCGATTGTATCAATGAGGAACTCACCTCACCATAAACTTGCCCAATGGTTAGTGAAACAAATCGAACCAATCAAACGCAACCTTGCCGTTTACACTACCAAAGATACTTTCTCCTTCGTAGATGAACTGAAGCATCAGAATCTACTGAATAAACACAAGATCTCGCTTGACGTGCAGAGCCCGTTTACAAACCTGCCACTGGATGAAACAATTGGCATACTTTGTAAGCATGCGGGTGAAATACACCTGCCACCAGAGCAACTGCGGGAACTACTACAGATATGCACAAAGAATGTATAGTTCTTATTAAATGGGCGGCTGTATCGACAGATCGACGGTATAGCTATGGACAGTTCATTGGAGCCAGTCCTAGCGGACATTTTCATGTCTAATCTAGAGCGAAAACTAGCCCGGAACTTACAACGAGCCTCATTCTACAGGCGATATGTGGATGGCATTTTCGCCATAGTTAAAAACCCAGGCGATGGAGAACTACTACTCAAGACTCTGAACAAAGCACATGCAAAGATCAAATTTACCATCAAGCATGAGGAGAACGGCACACTGCCTTTCCTGGATATTCTTGTACGTAGGCGGGCTGATGACTCTATTCGGAGATCCATCTGTCGAAAACCCACCGGGGAAGGGCAAGACATGCACTTCCTCAGTTTCGTTCCACTTCAGAGAAAACGGAACTTGGTTTTGTGCCTGTTCAAGAGAGCCACCAGAATCTGCTCTTCAGATACGATCAATGACGAGTTTACTTTCCTAAAGAACGTTTTATTTGCGAACGGGTATCCGGAAAAATTCATCGATAAATATCGCCATCCCAGACAAGGAAGTCCTGAAATATCTGTACCAAAACGTCAGTGACCATCTACCTCCCTTTCAAGGGTGATAACGTGTCAAACGTGATCAAGCGACGACTTCGGTTCACAATCGAAAGGACGTATGCCGCCTTTAGATTGTTGTTCCTAAGCACCACAACGGCCATCCCAGTTAGACCAGCTAAAGACATTTTGCCTATGCACACCACATCAAACTGTGTTTTTGAGTTTACATGCAGTTGCGGATGCAAGTACATTGGGCGCACGTAAAGGCAGTTGGCAGCTCGGTCAGCTGCACACATGCCGAAGTGTCTGCTTACTGCAGAAAATAAGGTAGCCGGGAGCTCAATTACAAAGCACCTAGTGGACACGAGCCATACGGTGGACTCAATGGTTGCATTCAAGGTCCTGTTTCGGGCGACAACCGGGCGGCCCTTGCCTTTTGCAGAGGTCGCTGCAATACGGAGGAGGAAACCAGAACTCTGAAAGCAGTTGGACCACGTAACAAACCTGGCACCACCATGGTAAGGATCGATTATGGAGGAAACCCTGTCCCCATATCCGCCCTCTCATTTCGTCCCCAACCCCTCTCCCTCCCACGCATGGTTGAATGCTGCCCGCGCGTTGCACTCTAAATCACGCCGGACAAGTTCTCACTGTAGTCCTAACCCTCATACTTGTACGACTTCTCTCCCCCTCCCCCCTCGCCATGCGCACTCGCATACTACACCCATGTTTTATTATAGGAGGGTTTGTAGTGGGTGTTAGTGTTTCGTGAAATTGACTTGCACTTTGGCTGGTTTATAACGAGGCAAATTTATGCAGAATAAAATTCGACTATTTCAAGCCTGTGGAAATCCACTGATTTGCCTTGTTTAATTTCCGAGGAAATTAATGCGCGAACTTGGAGTAAATCTTTCGAAACGGGCCCTTTCAAGCACGCTCCAAATCTTTGTTAGTACGGTAAATCATTGCACAAATCCACTGATGTTTGGCAATACATAGTGGTTGACGTGGAAAAAAGATCCGGTTACGGGCACGGCTACGGTAGGTTGAAGGACCCCAATTAGCTATCGGTATACTGTGAATTGTGCCATACGGGAACGGAGGTAGTGCTAGGGTGGGGTTTACGGGTGGGGGGGGGGCACGAGGGACAGGAAGCTGACGGAATACAAAAAAAACACGGAAGACGGTCCGTAGCAAAAACGGTACTTTCGAGTAAAATGATGCATATGCGGCATCCAGCTGGATATTTCATGGCGCTCCATCTTGGCAATGTGCCTAACCATCGACCGACTGAGCCTATCCCCTCGCAGACACCTCTGTTACCCCTCAATTCATGCTCCGTTTTTTTTTGCTTCTCCGCTCTCGGATACAACTGCCCGTCATCAGTACTTAACCAGATTCCGCGAGTACATATATCGGCACACGACCCGAAAAATAGCGACATTTAATTGGGGTCTCTCACCCTACCGTTGCCATGTACACCAACGCGCCTGGCTTCTTTCTCACCCAGCCAGACCACAAATTCATCGGACGGTAAGGACATCAAAGAAACCACACTTGATTTTGATCGCAAATCGAAGTATCAGTGTGTGTTTGCTTTGTGAGGCCACAGATGACACTCACGCGCTGGGTATGCAATGTCTACCTGTATCAAAACATTCAGTGAAACTTCAAGACCTTAAAATGTGCCATCTCATCCATGGATACTCTGAAATACCCTTTTGAGAGCACAGTTTAAACGCCCAGCAGAAGTTAACAAGTGGGTTGGAGCAAAACGCATGAGCAACTGAACGAAGGCTTGAAATTATGCTACATTGTCCTATTAACAATTAAAGATGGTACATTCTAAACTGTGACATTTCCTTTGTACTGAAGCGCAGGAAGTTCTGCCAAAACAAGATTATTTAGTTTCAATCGCCTAGGCCTACCGCGCACTGACTTACGCTGATTGAACAAAGGCATAAAAACATTTGCAAATAGGCCAACTGCCTAAGACGGACAAGTCGGGAATGTTTAATGTTTATGTTCTTGTCGGAAAATGTGCATTAAATATCTCTTCCTTGCGTACCAAAGGAGAACTCTGGGCTTCAGTCTTACAAGAAGTCCGGACTATGTGAGGGTTGTTTACTGACGTCTAACGACTTCCTAGAATACTTACAGGCTTGTAAAACTCATAACAAGATTCTCGTGTAGGTGTAAGGTAAATGTATAATGGAAGTAACAAATTTATAAACAGTACAAATGTATGACAAATTATCAAACAGATAAACACAACGTGTCCGTTAATACTCCTCGCCCTCCTCCTCTTCGCCTTCAAATGTGTCTGCGCCTACTTCCTCGTAATCCTTCTCCAGCGCGGCCATGTCCTCCCGAGCCTCTGAGAATTCGCCCTCTTCCATGCCTTCACCCACGTACCAATGCACGAAGGCGCGTTTCGCATACATTAGATCGAACTTCTGGTCCAGTCTGGCCCAGGCCTCAGCTATTGCAGTCGTGTTGCTCAACATACAGACAGCGCGTTGAACTTTGGCGAGGTCTCCGCCCGGCACGACAGTCGGTGGCTGGTAGTTGATACCGACCTTGAAACCAGTGGGACACCAGTCGACAAACTGAATTGTCTTCTTCAATTTTATACTGCCAATGGCACTGTTCACGTCTTTGGGGGCAACGTCTCCACGATAGAGCATGCAACAGGCCATGTACTTTCCATGACGAGGATCACATTTGACCATTTGGTTTGCGGGCTCGAAACAGCTGTTCGTGATTTCACTCACCGTCAACTGTTCGTGGTAGGCCTTCTCCGCGGAAATGGTTGGTGCATAGGTGGTTAGGGGAAAGTGGATTCGTGGGTAGGGCACTAGATTCGTCTGGAATTCAACCAGGTCAACGTTGAGCGCACCATCAAAGCGCAGTGATGCGGTGACGGAACTCACGACTTGAGCTATCAGGCGATTGAGGTTGGTGTAAGTTGGTCGCTCAATATCAAGACTACGTCTAAAGGAAATAATTAAACACTAGTCTTTATAGCGGCAGACAAGTAGAAAAACTAGAAATGTCTTTTTTCCTTCACAAGAAGGCATGCACAAGGAAATGAACAATATACATTTTGCCTCGTTTAAAACACCGACAACGGTAGAGGAGGAGCACACACCGATCGCGTTGCGGAACTCACTCTTTCTGTTGTGTCTTGGGGCTCCCTGTCGAGCCCCATCAACAACCGCACGACGGCGCCTGCTATAAGCAGTACGGCATTACCGACAAAGACGAGGGAAATTGAATGGCCTTTTCTGGGTTATAAGTCGTCACCAACCAGTCACATCCAAATCCGAGATATGCAACGGGACAGGTAGGTACCGTAACGCGATTGGTGCGCGCCCCCACGGCCACTGTTAATATATCCGATGGCAACCGACAGGACGAGTCCGTGGCTCAATGGTTAGGGCTTTGGACTCATAAACAACAGGCCGCAAGTTCGAGCCTTGGGAGTTGCATACCTCGGAGTTAAGCATAGCTGGCTGGTGACGGCCAACAAACCAGAAATGACCATTCCAGTCTCTTTTTCACCTCCATGTTACTATTATTCTATGGCATTATTCGCGGGGCGAGACACAAACCACATAACTAGGGCAAATATTTCCAATGTTGAAAAATCCCTGCACTTAGCGAAGGGATGGCAAGATGTTAGCGTGTGTTTCATCGTGAGATAAATTTGTGCTGAACTCGATTCGCAAGAAATGGTTGAAGGATTCGCTTTGTTATCGGTAGCATTTCCTGATGCTCCATATTGAACAGGACGGCCGCTTATATATTACATCTGAAATAAGATATGGGGTGTGAAGAAATCAAATTATGCTTTAAATCTGCGAACGTTTTAAGCATTAACACCATTAATCAGGCCCCTGTGAAAATAACGTATTCAGGATACTAACACACTCTCTTCAATAGGCCATTGGCTGGCACTTACGCATATATTCAGTGTAAAAGCAGTAGAGATTCCGACAAAGGTGTAGTCCAAACCGCAAGATCGCTTACAGCAAAAGTACTATTACTCGTGAAGGCGTTAGGCAGACGTGCTGTGGTAACAATGCATTCCGATCTACTATTCATCATTTGTTTTGAGTCCTAAATCTCCGTCGTCCTCCTTAGTCTTTAGCCCAAATATGGAATAAGTGCCACTTCAAACATCGACTAACCGCTGGAAAGCAGACCAACTGTACTTTTTAGAGATCAGACGATGGCTTAGAACGTGACTACACCCAAAGTATAACAGTCATTTAAGCTGCAGATTATGTCAAGATCGTTTTCGAAAAGTGCACAATACTTCTGCGCAGAGAAACTGCAGTCAACCAAAGGACGGTCATCGCTGCACTTTATTCGAAAACTAGAAGGTCGTCTGAGTCGTCTTACCGACAGACATCGTAGATGGCCTCATTGTCGAACATGAAGCAACAGTCAGAATGCTCCAGTGTGCAATGCGTGCAAAGAATGGAGTTGTACGGCTCGACTACGGCAGTAGAGACTTGGGGAGCCGGGTAGATAGAAAACTCTAACTTTGACTTCTTGCCGTAGTCTACGCTGACACGCTCCATCAGTAGGGAGGTGAAACCGGAGCCGGTGCCGCCTCCGAATGAGTGGAAGAAGAAGAATCCCTGCAGACCGCTGCAATTGTCGGCCAGCTTACGGATGCGATCAAGAATGAGGTCAATCATCTCCTTGCCGATTGTGTAGTGCCCTCGACCATAGTTGTTAGCAGCGTCCTCTTTGCCTGTTATGAGTTGTTCTGGGTGAAATAGCTGACGATAGGTTCCAGTCCGTACCTCGTCTAAGAAAAGGTGTTCAGATTAACTAGAAAGCGGTACGAAAAGGACTTAACGATCATCTGACATAGAGCCGCCTGTCTTTTTCTCCTTATTCACTCTAACATTCTGGAATCTAAACTGTGATGTCCACCAATATGGGAAAAAGATTCTATCGCAGTCCCAATAGCACCTACGTCATTAGTATAAACCATAAAGAGACTGGAATGTTTCAAGGAATATGTTCAGCTGCACTCAGTTATCATAGCAACTGTGCCTCCCTCCCCCCCCCCAAACGGGTCACATGGTAGATTCGCTGGACCAACACGGAGGCCATAGCGGATTCTGGCAGGCGTTATCGGAATACGCACCATAACAAATGCCGGTAGGGAAGGAGAGAGTGCGGTAGACGAAGCGAAAGTCTACTTTCTTTATAAACTAATTCAAACACAAGTCACCGTCCCTGTTCCGCCTAGCTGTGGAGCACACGGTGGGCATCGTCGGCAACGACGGTTGAACTGTCGTACCATAGCCACTGTTGGTTTCAATCTTGAACGGTCCTGCAAGAATGGAGTCGTTGTTAAGCACGACGATTTCACTGCGTCTTGACCAGGACGTTTTTTTCAGTTAAACGTCTTCACTAACAGAAGTGATTAGTTAATTTCAATGTTTGAAGGCTTTAGTAATTCTGAAACCGTTTTCAATGTACAAAAGTTGTTTGGAAACATCGTAACAAACTCCTGAATATATTAAACGTTCACAAACACATTAATCCATGTTTTCCTTAACGAAGCGAGTCTTACACCTGCCGGTATCAAGTCTCCAGTTTAGAAACACGACAATTAGACTTCAAATAGCTTATGACAGTAATGCTTTTTAACCTTTTTAACCGTCAGAAAGCAAGCACAGAAAACTACTTATGATGAAGATTTTAGTGTGTCTTGTTAGGATGAGCATTTCAATATGCCTAGATGCGACTTGGCAATCAGTAGATTGAGGTGAGCTAACAAGCCTCAACTACTATATCTTTGGTTCATTATTCGTGCGTCTAAATCCAGCTTTCACAGAACCCGCGGTATCAAAACACTTACCTACGACCGTTGGCTCCAAATCGACCATTACAGCCCGAGGGACATGCTTCCCGGCTCCAGTTTCGCAGAAGAATGTGTTGAATGAGTCATCTCCACCACCGATCGTTTTATCGCTCGGCAACTGACCATCTGGCTGAATACCGTGCTCTAGGCAATAGAGCTCCCAGCAGGCATTACCAATCTGAACGCCGCCCTGGCCAATATGTATGCTAAGGCATTCACGCTGAAAGAGAACCGGTAAAGATGCTCATTAAGAACTGTCGACCTTCGGTCGCAAATAGGGTGGAAAAAGTGACCCAACTTACCATTTGCGCTACCGAACTAGCCCGTTTGCTTCTGACTACTAAATGACTCCCGTGGGGACGTTCTGCGTCATTCAAACGCTCGTCCAATCAATAAGGCGGAGCTTACCGCGCGTCGTGTCTATCGATCGATATCTGCCGTTGTCGTCTGACTGTCGCCGCGTCGGCCGGGGGCGAGGGTGGAGGCGAATACACGGCACTGTGAGAAAAACATCTGGTCACCTCCTTCTTGCGGTTTTGCAGACCTTCGGCTAATAACCCTGAAAATAACCAACGCTAATTTGGAAGGGGGGGGGGTGTGACGAGGTGCTTGGCGTCCTCGGGTGTTACGGACTGGAGGAGAGAAGAATCGACGCATCAGGAAAACCGTTCGTGTTTACATGAAAAAAAAGTCAAATAGGGTAGTTGAAAAGAAGCAGTCACCAAAATAAGAAGTCGCGGTCTACAACAGAAACTTAAACTATCAGGTGGCAGAGAACCAGGTCGATTTTGACACAGGGTCTGAAAGCAGTCTCATTCACAATGTCATTCACAATGTTCGAAAAGCCTTGTTTAGAGAAAACTCCACGACATCATCAACCATAGTTGTAGGTCAGGTGGGACTTGTGTGCGAATTTGCATCAAGCATTTCCGTCGAGGCCTGACCTGGCTTGTTCACTCTGTGTCAAGAGCGAAAGCACTTAAGTGCTGGTCGTTATTTGCGAAAGTTGTATACAGCTCTGTTTGAAGAAATTACAAAATTGGATAACAACTCTGAGCCTTTTCAATAAACCATCCCTACAACTTAGCGACTGGTCGAAAGCTCTGAGCTCTCAACGAACTAGCAAATATGATATACCGGCTGAGATGAGCTTCCTAGACGGTCAGCGGAAGACCTAATAGAGCCAGGCAGGCGTCGACACTACGACTTCAGCAAGAAACACAAATGTGTGGATACACCGTATTAATCGCTGTACAGAAACTCAAAGCTTTAAAACCGCCACGACTCTGTCTCCTTAAAGACCGCCTAGTTCACGGGTGAGCCGTGCTTTTGTCAGCAGAATAAAAGCAGAGTGAGTGGCGACGCCAACGCAGCCAGGTGTATGCCACTGTTCGGACTGTCAACGTACAAACACGGCAATCTCACCAGCACATCTGAAATCTTTAATCCTTTCACGATGTCCGACTTCAGCCGGTCACTGTGTTCTATTTATCTATCTCAAAACCAAGGTTATCGTGAAGTTGCGTACGACAGAGGATAGACTGAAATCCTGCAATCTAAGTTCACTTCAAGAGGACTACGGTGTGTCTTCCCCGGGGTCTATTCTTACCTTAAAGCAATATTAGAGGTCCACAAAATCAATCTTGAAGATTGCGTTCCATGTTAGAAGGAGGAAAAAAGGATAACCGCCAAATCCAGCGGACAGGATAACCTTTTAAGTCATAAATTCCTCCCACTGAAGAGCCGAGTTATCGAGCACCTCACCCATGATATACTAATTCCCTCCAAGTTTGACCGTTCCAAAATTTTTAGTATTAGCAGACAGATAATATCATAACGGCAGAGGGTGATGACTTTCAAGTTAAATCCAGATCCAGTTTGCCATTAAATTAAATACACTACAAATTTGGCCAAGACTTTGTTGGCTATGATCGATGTGTTAATAGAAGAAGAAAATTGGCTCTCCGGAACAGGTTTATTTAACTGCTGACGTTTAAAAGAGCTGGGTCGGCTCTTCATTGTCAAAGCGTAAACTGCACCTAATCGATCAGAAATTTAGTTTAAAGTGGCAAGTTGTGTTGGCCGGCCTCATGCTGATCGATTTTTTTCCTCTCCTCCCGCTGCGTCGGCCTCTCAGGAGATGGTTGACGGGCGTTTTTGCCTGTGCGCTTTATGAGTCACCACTCCGTCGAGGGGAGCTGATTGGACTTTAGTCGGGCGGTCGGTCTGGCGGTTCTTGTTCTTCCTCACCGAGTAAGCTCAGCGTCGGGCTATCTCCGTGCTGCCTTCTTAAGTCAGGTGTGGTTGTTTGGTCCTGAGCTCTACGATTGTGATGACGTAAGACTTTGTAAGCCAATTTTCTTCTTCTAATAATCCTCCCGGATCTCTAAACTTTTCCAATCCGATGCGTTAATAGCCAAATGATCTGACCTAGTTTGAGGACACAATATCTGACTTCTGTTCTGGTCCAGCGATAACACAGACAGTGTCACGACGATCTAAGCCTAGTAATCAATAATATTTATCGACAATGATAAAAATGACTGAGATGGTTAGTTTTAGCGCATTTGCTGTTGCTAGCTAGACTTAGTCCAATCACGGGAGAAGACCTGAGGTTTGAACATAAATCCAAATGACCGAAGTTTAAATAATGGGAGGGAAAAAGGGGAAAACTGCCATTGTGCCGGATGAAACCACTGCTTACAATACTGGCAATAACTTGTTTGCCCACGAGAAGTTTAATTTGGTCCGCTTGGATTAATGCTGTTTGGATGTCATGACCATTAAATCCAAGCGATCGACTCCGTCCTGGAGCCTTAGCACTACAATGCTGAGTCTGTGGTAAGCCTAAATGTTAGCATGTAGCACTCATAGTAAAGGTTCTTTCTTTTACGCGAGAAAAAGCAGTGACATGGTGAGATGCGGTGACCCTACTAGAAGCGCCTTTCGGAACGCTGCATCTCCCACGTGCACGTAAGCATTGGCATCACTAAGAGTCTGATTCTCGGCCAATCACGGCTGTCCAAACTAGCCAATCAAATTCTAGGGCGACTCAGGTACGCCCTCGCTTTAGGCGCTGTGACGCATTCCCCACTGTCACCAGGGCCGCTGTTCTCACCGTGCTGGACGTGTTCTCGTCCGGCTGCCAACTCATTTCAACCGGTTCTCCAATCCTTATTTACAGAGTACAGCATCTTTTCCGGTGGTGTCCAACAGCTCTTTTTATTCAGCACCAAGCCTGAATGCCGTTAGGGCCTCCCTAGGGATCTAGCTGCCGCGACAGGGGCATTCCGACATTGACAAACATGTATTTATACGGATCCTCAATGGTAGAGGGGCGCTCACCGATCGTTTCTACGGGACTCACTCGTCCCGTTGTGCCTTACGGGCTCTCTCTCTCTTTCTCTCTCTCTCCCTCTCTCTAGTCCAACCAGCAGCGGCACAGCGAAGCATGATGTAGGCAGGATTGTTGGGTATGACTGGCTAACGACGGCTAACAAGCCAGAAATGGCTATTCCAGTCTCTCTTGTCTTTGTCGGTAATACCATTCTACTGATCCTCAAGCTCTGCTTGGTCTATCCCCGGTGCATGCTAACTTATACTGATGACCGCATTCAGTGACATTAATTCCGCCAGGTACTTGCTGTTGCAATCGATATGCGGGAGAATCCTGGGCCGAAACTGGGACGGTTGTAGAACCAGCAATGCAGTCTAAAGACCGAGAGCAGAGTTCCCCTTTAAGCCGGCCTTCGGCACGCCAACCCACGCTTTCAGCCGGCCACTTCATCGTCGCCACCATCCAGGGTCTGGTTTTAAAGAAATGACATCCTATACGATTCCACTTTCATGTCCAGCCAGCTCTATCATCATTCTTTAAGATGGATGAAGTATGACGGGTTGAGTTCGTAATTTATTATATATGTCGTAGGGCATGTTTCACATTCGTATTGATGGTCTACCTCCGGAAAAACCTTATACAGTCAGAACTTGATAGTCGGAGTTATCGTACGCCGACTCAAGAGGTTTTTGGCGAAGTCAGAAGATGGATGTTCACGAGCTGGGGCAATAAGTCCAATCTTTACCTGTGATACAAAGCGGCAGACAACGGGAACTAAAGCAAACATGCCAGCATCTACTGTTGACGAATAGGCGCGTCGAGTAACGAGATATTAGACTCCGTGTTCGAGTTCGATTAGTTTGGTTTCCAGTAAATTTTACCAGTCCTCGCGCCCACGCGAAATACAACAGTTTTACTGCAAGCACAAGGAAACCCTGTAGTTCAGATTTCGACTTATCTGTATAAATTCGTTGATCTATCACCGGTGCTTGCTAACGTATACTGATGCCCGCATTCAGTGACATGATTTTCGCCAGGTATTTGCTGCTGCAATCTGTATGCGGGAGACTCCTGGGCCGAAAATGGGACGGTTGTAGAACCAGCAATGCAGTGTGAAGACCTAAAGAAACAGAGTTTCCCTCCAAGCCGGCTTTCGGCACGCCGGCCCACGCCTTCAGCCGTCCATCTCATCGTCACTGTCATCCAGGGTCTGGTTTGGACGGAATGACATCCTAAACGATTCCTCTTTCAGGCCAAGCCAGTTCGATCATTTTAAGGAGGTTGAGGTTGACGTGTTGAGTTCATAATCTACTATATGACTGTTGAACAATTTCTGAAGTCGTAAGGCATGTTTCACATTCGTTTGGATGCAAAAAAAACTTTATACAGCTGGACCTTGATAGACGGAATTAACGTACGCCGACCCAAGAGGTTTTAGTGGAGTCAGAAGGTGGGCACACACAAGCTGGGGCAATAAGTCTAATCTTTACCTTGTCCGTTTACCAGACACTAATACAAAACGGCTGACAACGGGTACTAAATCAAACATGTCAGTGTCTATCGTCAACGAATTGGTGCGTCGAGTAACGAGATTCCAGACCGAGTTGGGTTAATTTGGTTTCCAGTCAATTTCACCAGCCCTCGCGGCTACGCGAAATACAACCGTCTCCTACTGCAAACCCTAGGAAACACTGTAGCTCAGACTTTGACTTATAGAGTTGTGAAAATCCCCATAGAAGACAAAGTGGCGAGCGAACGTTGCTTTCGATAACTTCTCGTCCGGCCGGTAAAATTATATGGGACGGGGTACAGTGAATGAAAAAATCGATAGCTGGTTTTTAAAATACATGCTAGGCGAGAGCGAAAGGGCTCAGAAAGGTGTATGCGGTTAGTCAAGCTTTTACAACAATAAGCGCGGAGCCTGAACGAGGTTCGTCTGGGCGCATAGGGTCGGTTTTCGAAACCTGA